CCAGACAACTCATTGGTTGGAAAAATTAATATATGTTTATGAAAGAAAACCAATAAAATCTTTATAAAAAAAATAATAAGGCCCTTTCCCAGGGGGATGCTTGCTAAGCTGCCGTTTCCTTTGAGAGTTGGTAGATTCCCCCACCCCTGTTTTTCTCACAGCCTTTGTGGGTTTTCTGTTCTTCTCAGCCATTTTTGACAGCTGATTCTTCAAGTGTCACTTTGCTAAACTTGAAGGAAACTGAAGCACGAATGCTAGTGTGTGTGTGTGGGGGGGAGAATCAACAACCAACAGCTCAGGCATATTGTCTGTTTGCTTCATTCTTTTTTTGCATAACCAGCAAAAAAAGGAGGGTCCATAGCTATGCTTCCTAAAAAGACTCCTGAAAATAAATCATTGGAGTTCAACCAAACTAATATGGATTAATAAACAATCACTAGAATAATGATGTGTCTGCATAATTACTGGAATATTGCTGTGTTAGTAGTATGTGACGAACCTAATGCGCATTGCACTTGGATACAATGTATGTGGCAAACTCTCTCCATTGTATACCCGGGAGAAACGAACCTAATGTATTACAATGTGTATCACAATGTGTATTCCTTTGTTCCTGAGAAAAAGGAAGTATAAAACTGAAGTCTAAACCCACCCTCGGGGTTCAGAATTGCTGGTTGCTACTGCTTCTGAACCTGTGCAATAAATCTCTCTGCTAAAACCCTCTGGAATTCATAAGAGTCCTTCCGTTTTCCACAAGAAAACAAGATTACTTCTATTACATTTCCATACCATTTTCAGAAGAAATAGTAGCGTTTGAAGGAAAGTGCTCCTATTTAGGGTTACGTCCAGCAATCATGTCTGCTCTCGTACAGAGATGACCATATTCACCCCAATTTTCTATTCCAGATGATGTTTCACATCACATTCTGCAGCAGTAAAGGATATCCAGCACTCAACGCGTCTTTGATCTCACTAAGTGTTCATGCTTCTGCAAAAGTATGATTACCTGGAGTTTTTTGGGGTTTTTTTTAGATGGATGAGCTATACTGACATTGTTCCCATATGCCATGTTTCCGATGCTGGTCAATTTGACCAAGAACAACAAATCAAAGTAAATACTTTTGAGAACACACTGTGAAAAAATGGACTGTCTTTTTAATAAAAAGCAACTCTAGTTTTTTAGAAACTGTAAGTTATGTCATGTCAAACAGTGTGTCTTCTTTAAACACCATAAAAGATCTATTTTTTGTAACTGATGACTAAGATTTTGTGTGTGTGTGTGTGTGTGTGTGGTGTGTGTGTGTGTACAGCCCAGGCCTGAATCTCAGAAGGGTAAGTGTGGCTGAAGAGAGTTAAGAAACTGGAAATAACTATCCCATTCTCCCTTAATTCTTTGTTAGCAATCCAAATTTTATAATACAAATGATGTCGCAGTTGCAACTTCTGCCTGTGGATGGCTCTAGATCAGTGGTTCTCAACCTGTGGGTCGGGACCCCATTTGGGGTCGAATGACCTTTTCACGGGGGTCACCAAACCATGCTGTCCGTCATTTTTTTCCCTTTTCCCTAGCTGTTCTACTCCCTCTTATTGGTGGCCACACCCACTTGGGGGTCACCACAACATGGGGAACTCTATTATGGGGTCACGGCATTAGAAAGGTTGAGAATCACTGCTCTAGATTGAGCTGATACAGGCAAAAGAAAAAAGTAAAAGAAAGAAGATTTCTTTCTCCCATATTTGGACCCTGTCTCTTCCCTCCCTGATACAGCTGACAAAGTGAGAAGGAGCCTGTGGCCTAGAGGTTAATACAGCTGCCTAACTTGCACACAGCCCAGCTCGAATCTCAGAAGGGTAAGTGTGGCTGAAGAGAGTTAAGAAACTGGAAATAGCTATCCCATTTTCCCTTAATTCTTTGTTAGCAATCCAAATTTTATTTGGATTTGGAGAGAGAGAGAGAGAGAGATGGGGGGAGGGAGAGGGAGGGAGGGAGGGAGAGAGAGAGAGAGAGAGAGAGAAAGAGAGAGAGAGAAGATGTTTGGGAGAAAAACTGAAAAGAAGGCTATTGTAAATAAAATGTATTGAGAAAAAGCAGGTTATTACTGTTTTTCAATGGGTCCTCATCAGCATTTTCATACCCTGCTATACTTTCTTTTAAATGTAAAGGTACAGATTAGGTGAAACTTGACTAAATAGCAGTAACCATGAGAGGGATCTTGGAGTCCTAGTGGATAATCAGTTAAATATGAGCCAACAGTGTGCAGCACCAGCTAAAAAAAACAATGCAATCCTCAGCTGCATTAACAGAGGGATAGAATCAAAACCACATGAAGTGTGATAAGACTTTGGGAAGACCACGCTTGGAATAGTACATCCAGTTTTGGTCACCACAATATAAAAAAAGAGGTTAAGATTCTGGAAAGAGTGCACAGAAGAACAGTAAAGACCATTAGGGGCCTGGAGCCTAAAACATATGAAGAACAGTTGCAGGATTTGCGTATGGCTAGTCTAGTGAAAAGGAAGACTAAGGGCAACATGACAGCAGAGTTCCAATATTTGATGGGCTGCCACAAAGAAGAGGAAGTCAACTATTCTCCAAAACACCTGAAGGCAGGACAAGAAGCTACGGATGAAAACTAATCAAGGAGAGAACCAGCTTTGAACTAAGGAGAAATTTCCTGACAGTGAGAACAATAAATCAGTGGAACGACTTGCCTGCAGAAGTTGTGGGTGCTCCATCATTGGAGGCTTTTAAGAAGAGACTGGACAGCTATTTTTCTGAAATGGTATACTGTACGGTCACCTGCTTGAGCAGGGCGTTGAACTAAAATACCTTCAAGGTCCCTTCCAACACTGTTATTATGTTATTCATAAAATATCTGATCAGCTATAGAAACATGCAGGATCATTTATTTCTTCCTCCTCCGATGATGAATTTTGAGTATTTTTCTGAAATTCAAGCGGACGTTCTTTCAAGCTTAGGAAAATACATAACCTCCATTTATTTTGATTTGGTTCTCATCTCCCAAAGTAGCTATGCATCCTCTTTTCCTGGTGAGGCTTATATTCTTTTAAACTCACCTCTGTTGGGATCTCTTCTGGTTTTCCCTTGTAAATTTATCCTCAGCTAAGTCCTGCTCTATTAAATGGTTGCTGTTTCTAGTTATATATGGCCAAGGTTTTCTTTTGCTGGTACTCTATGAGTTGGCTGAGATTTGTTTTTTATTTTCATTATTTTTTGGGGGGGGGAGGGCAAAAAGCAGTTCCTTTATTTGAAAACCCTGACATTTATTAGCATAATAAAACTCTCTAGATGAAATTGCAATTTTTCTAGCCAGCCACTTCATTTGCTGGGGAATTTAGAAGGAATTTACTTTAAAGCCAGGTAAAAGCTAAACATATGAGGTATGCACGGAGTGCCCATTAAAAAGAATAAGAAAATAGACAGCGGGATGAAAAATTACATCGCTAGACTATATGTGCTCTTTAGAAAGTCGTTGGGATGATAGACCGAAGGACGACTCTTTTCACTCTCCTCTGTGCTAGCATCATGCAATAAACTATAAAGTGTTGTCAGTCTAGGAATTGTTCCAGAGCTATATCTTGCTTCTAAAAATCCAACTATCACCTCTTGAGAACAATCCCATGCAATAATTTCAGTCTGCAGGATAGCTGTTTACCAACTACGTTGACAATATCTTGAAAGATTTACTCTAAGAATGAATAATATTTGCTTCCATCCTTTTCGGTGGAGAAAAATATTTGTTTGTTCGCATCCTGCCTTTATTATTTATTTACAAATAGCTCAAGGCAGCCAACATATCCAACATATCCTCCTCCTCCTTCTACTCCTATTTTCCTCACAATAACTACAATATCCTGTGAGATGAGTTGGGCTAAGAGAGAATGATTGACCGAAGATCACCCAGCTGGTTTTCATAGCTAAGGCAGGACTAGAACTCCCAACCTCCTGGTGATTGGCCCAAAGTCCCCTAGCCAGCTTTCATGGATAAGGTAGGACTAGAACTCACAGTCTCTTGGTGACTGGCCCAAAATTATCCAGCTGACTTTCATGGCTAAGGCGGGACTACAGTTCATCATCTCAAGTTAGATTGATCCAAAGTCCCCTAGCCAGCTTTCATGGCTAAGGCAGGACTAGAATTCACAGTCTCCTGGTGATTGACCCAAAGTCACTCGACTGGCTTTCATGGATAAGATGGGACTAGAACTCCCAATGCACAAGTGTACATTTACCTCTAAAGTTACAGCGTGACTCTCTTCTTACTATAATCTAATCTTTGAAATCTCAATTATAAGTTGATTTTTTTTCTGTTTCATTAAGGTGTTTCCAGTCAGCAATAAATGTAGATATTATTTTATCAAAGAAGTCAATCTGGCCTTCTCAGCCAAATTCCATCAACTTCACCATCCATTCCTTCATTACGGAGAATTTCAACCGTTTTTCCCCCCAAATTAGAGAGTGTCATGAAATGTTGTTTCAGAGGTCACATCCTCACCTACTGACTTGCAACTATGAGATGTGTCACCAGACATTTTTAGCGGATACATTTTGCAATTGGTGGGCAAATATCTATGGAGATTCTCAGTCATCCAGATCATGGTTGTCCCCAAAGATGCTTTTTCAAAAAGGCGACTGAACTTCACTTCAACTGAAGCTGATGAGAAGCAAAACATCTTCAAGGAAAAAAACAAAGAAAGTCCAGTTGGCTTTTGAAAAAGCACCTTTGGGACAATTTTTGGACAAGTTATCTTCTACGATTAAGTTGGCCAATGGCAGTTTCCTTGTTGACAGCGTTTTTAGTATATTGTCTTTAGAAAAATATACAGGGTATCTGAACAACCAAGAACCATTCATAACTTTTAACAGGTGATCCTATTCAATGAACCTTGGGGCCATTGCTACAGAAGCAATTGTACAACATTGTAATTGCTAATAATGAAAATCTTTTGAAAAATCAAAGGGGAGTTGATCTTTACTGGGCATTCATTGTGTTTCAGAGTACAATTATATAACTATCAGGTCCAGCTGCTCCCTGCTTTGTGTTATGCATGACATAAATAATGCATGCAGATAGTAACTTGGATCGTCTACCCAAGGCATCTGTTCGTACAGGTTGCAGGTGATGATCTGGCAATAATAGCTACCTTACTTCTCAGAGAACGACTCTTTTGCTAACCATTTCAGTTCTTCAGAACCTCTACCGGGGTCCTGAAGGGGATGAGGAAACCATAAAAGCGGTCATTCAAATAACAAATTATAGTCAGGCGTACTCTTCGTCTGCTCGCAAGGTTCCAAAAGCAACTCGCCACCAGAAGATGTTATTATTTCTTCCTGCAAATGCAAAATAAATGTCATCGGCGGGATGAAAAATATCGATCATTTCTACCGATAGCTCAGTAAGTGCTTTCCCTAGTGGTCTTTCCCTAGGGACTCATACCTTGTGAAAATCAATAAGATCTGTGAGTGTTGCGTGACGATTGGGATCCACTCCCAGGAAACAGTAGAAGTCTCCGGACGCATCCACCAAGAAATGTTTGAAGCCACTCTGGTGGCGGTAAGAGAGGGCATATCCCCAGATTTTATCACTGACCCGTACTAGGAATGTCCCTTCAGTCTTCTTCATCAACAGTTCTTCTGCTTCTTGCCGAGTAATAATACCTATCAAAATAAAGCAAAAGGGACTCTTGTAGATGGCAGTTCGAGCAGGTTCTGGCATTCCAGAGAGAAACTATACAAAGGAAATAAATAGAGGTTTATAGTATTACTTCTAGTTTACTGAGTGTCACATCAATTTTAATTGGGCTTTGGAACAGACCATGGGATCAGGGTTGCTTGGGTCACCTTGGGGATAAACTTTGCTAGAAACTGAACAGGGAGGGGTTGCTATCTCTTCTAGACCACTTAGCATCTTCTTGGAGGTCTACTAATAGATTAACAGAGTTGGAAGGGACTGTCAGACCCTCAATGTCTTTCTTATGCCTTTCATTTTTGGGTTCTGCCGTTCTATTGGTGAGGGGAACAACCTATGTGTCTTCTACAATGTATTTCCTTTATTTGTTCTATCCTCTTTGAAGTATCTTAAGGAATGTGTCTCTGGCCATTTGCCATACCTTCAGTTGGATGGGAAGAAGCCACAGAGAAACCTGACAGCCTTGAGAATGGTGCCTTGTCACTCATTTCCCACAACAACTTAACACCTGTGGTTAAATTCAAACTGGCCAGTTGGACATTTGGGGTAGGGTTTGAGAGGGTTCTTTCCATGTAATGTTTCACATGGGAAATCCTCAGATCCTGCCTTACTCTTCTGCTATCAATACCTTCCAATAAAAGTTCCTGTTGAGACAATGCAAGTTTCAAGAGTTCTGCTTTCTTGGGAGAATTAATTGAGGCAGGTCATTACAGGGACTTTGCAAGTCTTCTGATCCAGCCCTCTGCTCATAACCATTTCAGACAAATGGCTGTCCAATCTCTTCTTCAAAAATCTCCAGTGATGGAGAAGCCACAACTTCTGAAGGCAATTCATCCCACTGATTGATTGTTCTCACTGACAGGAAATTTCTCCTTAGTTCTAGATTGCTTCTCTCCTTGATTAGCTTCCATCCATTGCTTCTTGTCCTGCATTAAGGGGCTTTGGAGAATAGCTTGATTCCCTCTTCTTTGTGGCACCCCTTAGATATTGGAACACAGCTATCAAGTCACCCCTAGTCCTTCTCTAGATATACCCAATTCCAGCAACCGTTCTTCATGTGTTTTAGCTTCCAGTTCCCTAATCATCTTTGTTATTAGGATTAAGCTTCATTGGTAATAGTTTGCAATTAATCCAGTCTTATCTTCTGAGCCATTTCAAATTACTACTGTTTGAAACTTTGCTTTCCAGCAAAGGTTAAGGTATGTCTGTTGGCTTTTAAAGTCCTAAATAGCTTATTTGAGAAATGTTCTCTCTCATTGTGAACCCTTATGAACCCAAGTAAAATCTGTAGGAGAAGTTCCTTTGAATATACCTCAGAAGTCCATCTTTCTGACACATAGGAGAGGCATTTCTTTGATGATGCCCCCAGACTATGAATCCAATCTCTAAGTTTGGCCTTTATGCTGTGAATACCATATCTATTTCTTTAACATGACATGTCATATTCAATAGCTTTGCCATTCATATTTGAACTAATAAATATTGGTGAAAGAGGCAGGAAGAGTTCAATATAGACTCATTCTACAGCCAATGTTGATAATTCTTCAATACCTCATAACTTACTGAACACACACACACACACACACACACACACACACACACACACACACACTGTTCTTCCTAATCTGAATTTAAGATTCTCCACATTGAGTTCATTTAGGTTTAGGGTTAACTTACATCAGTTCTTGAGTTGTGTGCAATTAACAATACTGTTCTTCTGAAAAGCAGTGAGAGCAGTCATGAATTTAACCCGTGCCCCATTCCAGAATGTTTGCACACTAGAACCTGCTATTACCATAGGAAGGCTGAACTCAAAAACTACCCAGCTTTTCTTTGGCCGTGATTAACAGACAAAGCACAGCCAGTGTGCTTGTGTCTTTATTCCAAACAAGAAGTTTGCCTCCTCTCAAATACAAGCCACTCCAGGAAAATCGCTGTTGGCTTAAGTTCAGCTTACTTTTCTCACCAGAGCATCTTTTATTTAATTTCATTGCTAGTCAGCCATCATGGAAGTGAAGATGAGAAATGTTATCAGATTTAGAAGACAGACAGAGACAGAGATGGGGGGGAGGGGAGAGGAGAGAGAAGAGAAAGAGAAAGGAGAGGAGAGCGGAGGGGAGGGGAGGGGAGGAGAGGGAGAAAGAGGTAAGGAGAGAGAGAGGTGAGAGGAGAGGAGAGGAGAGGAGAGGAGGAGAAAGAAAGAGAGGGGAGAGGAAAGAAAGAGGTAAGGAGAGAGAGAGGTGAGAGGAGAGGAGAGGAGAGGAGGAGAAAGAAAGAGAGGGGAGAGGAAAGAAAGAGGTAAGGAGAGAGAGAGGTGAGAGGAGAGGGGAGGGGAGGAAAGGAGAGGAAAGAAAGAGGTAAGGAGAGAGAGAGGGGAGAGGAGAGGAGAGGAGAGGAGGAGAAAGAAAGAGAGGGGAGAGGAAAGAAAGAGGTAAGGAGAGAGAGAGGTGAGAGGAGAGGAGAGGAGAGGAGAGGAGGAGAAAGAAAGAGAGGGGAGAGGAAAGAAAGAGGTAAGGAGAGAGAGAGGTGAGAGGAGAGGGGAGGGGAGGAGAGGAGAGGAGGAGAAAGAAAGAGAGGGGAGAGGAAAGAAAGAGGTAAGGAGAGAGAGAGGTGAGAGGAGAGGAGAAGAGGAGGAGAAAGAAAGAGAAGGGAGAGGAGAGAAAGAGGTAAGGAGAGAGAGTTGAGAGGAGAGAGAAGAGGAGAGGAGAGAGAAAAAAAGAAAAAGAGAGAGGAAAGAGAGACTGAATTAGCTTGCTATGAAAGCTGAAAAACTTTTCAACCCTGTTCATAAGACTCTGGCTAAAGACTCTCCAATTACTCTCCAATAACTCTGATCCTACCCCCATTTTGTCAGTTCTTTTCCATGCCTCTGATTATTACAGTTCTCAATATGCCCTTCACTTATGGATTTTAATCTCCTGATGTTCCCCACAGCTGGAGAAAACCTTCCCTTCCCTCCTTCACCAGTTGGGTTTTTCTTGGCTTCTACCACTTGCCAAGGCTGTGCCTTTTATGGCAATGGAAATGTTACCTTCTGGGGCTGAGAGAGAGAGAGAGAGAGAGAGAGAGAGAGAGGGGGGGAGAGAGAGAGAGAGAGAGAGAGAGAGAGAGAGAGAGAGAGAGAGAGAGAGAGACTATGCTGTTTTCATGGCAACAAGAAAGCAACTAGAGAAGAGGAGAAAACTCACAAATGTGTTGCTGCTCGCCTCGGGATGGCTATTGAAAAATAAACAACATCTGTGAAAATCCTCCTCGAACACTTAAAATCAAGTGATCTCGCTTCCTTCTTCTCTCTCCAGAGAATTTTTTCTGCTGTTTGAACCACCATTGCTGTTATTGTTATTTGAACAATTTCGATGTCTGAGGCAATCAGCAAGGCTGACCTTTTTCCTTTTCGTAGTCCCTTCAGATTTTTTTTTCTTTTAAAGAAATGTTATACAAAGGGATTTACAAAACCACTGCTTTAAAGCAAAGAGGTGCACGTGAAAAATTGAGTGAGTTTGTTTTGTTTATTTTTTTATGTATAGTTTTCTCAACAGCTATCTTTAGATATTGTTTGAAGTCTTGAACTCTAAAGTTCAAGACTTCAAACAAGGGGCTCAAAAGCAAAGCTGGCTTTTAATGCTTGGGAAGATTTGCACAATTGTTGTTGTTGGTTGCGAAGTCATGTCCGACCCATCACGACCCCATGGACAGCGTTCCTCCAGGCCTTCCTGTCCTCTACCATCTTCTGGAATCCATTTAAGCTCACGTCTACTGCTTCAGTGACTCCATCCAGCCCCCTCATTCTCTGTCATCCCCTTCTTCTCTTGCCCTCCATCTTTCCCAGCATTAGGCTCTTCTCCAGTGAGTCCTTCCTTCTCATTAGGTGGCCAAAGTACTTGAGTTTCAACTTCAGGATCTGGCCTTCTAAAGAGCAGTCAGGGTTGATCTCCTCTAGGACTGACCAGTTTGATCGCCTTGCAGTCCAATATCTAACCTCTGTTCTCCAAAGCATCTGAAGGCAGGACAAGAAGCAATGGATGGAAACTAATCAAGGACAGAAGCAACCTGGAGCTAAGGAGAAATTTCCTAATAGTGAGGACAACTAACCAGTGGAATATCTTGCCTTCAGAAGTTGTGGGTGCTCCATCACTGGAGGCTTCTAAGAAAAGATTGGACAGCCAATCTGGAATGGTCTAGGGTTTCTTGCTTTTACTTACCCAAAGAAATTTGAGGATAGATACTGTTGAAACTGGTTAACAAGGCAGGCATTCCTGGGTGAATCCTGCAGTTGAATAATATGGTATTCAGAAAACCCAACCGACTTGTCCCCTGGTTTGAAATGGTAAAATCTCATAAAAATTCTGTGATGCAAAAAAAAAAAAGAAAGAAAGAAAGATTGTGTCTTTCCCTCGAGTGTTACAGAAGTGCATTTGGAAGAGGAAGGGAGAACAGGTGGAAAAAAATGAATCCCATCTACCGCACTAGAAATGATCTTTCCAAATATTACGGCTCTTTTATGGTTTTACTTGAAGCATTAAAAGAAAATTAAAAATCTCTCTTTCAACAAAGCGATGCAGAGTAAATCAAAAACAGCTGCCTTGAAAACGAAACTGCTGGAAGGATAGACCATCTGCTGGTACAAAAACTTGAACTGAAGGACTCACCGCCCACCCGCTTGTTGTGCTACTGGCAAAGGGACAATTCTTGATGCTGGGAAAAAGCAGGGAGGATTAAGGAACACAAACGAAAGGTAAAAGAAAGAAATCCTTCCAGGCAACCAATCGTATCAATTTTCGAGGAGAAAAAAAAAGGCAGGAAATAAACCCTACTGAGTATGCATTCAGAGATCATTTCAACTTTTCTCAAAATTTCAGCTTGGTTTCCTAAGGAAAGCTATGGGCATTTCTTAGAGAGAAGCATCAAACGTTCTGGTGTTGAAGCAGGACACATCAGTGAATTCATGTTTCAGTTGTGAAGAGCTAAC